TCATTTCCTGAGGAGGAGAGTTTGAAGCCAGGGACCTTTCTGAGACAGGATGTATCACCCCGTGCCTTTGCTCAGGGGACCCTGCAACCTTCCTCTCAGATGCACGTTGGAGTTGACATTCTCTCCCCCTTGAAGAGTCTAAGAGTGAGGAGTAATCCCCACATCACTTCTGCCACATATCAAGGCCCACGGTTTCACACAAAACTCTGAGTATTAGGGTTCACTTGCGTTTTTATGAGTTACAGTGAATATCCCAACCAGTTCCTGGGGGCACAAGCATCATCTCCCAAACTCTGTCTCCACAAAAACAGCTTTTTGGGCTTTGGACTCTCACCAGTCAGGGTCAGAGGTTCCACTCCCTCATGGTGTAGTCAAGTGAATCTGGACGTGGAAAGTTCCACATATTGAAGAGGGCAGATGGGAAGAGCAAGGTAGAGAGAAAAAAAACCGTCTGACCGGCATCGAGAACTTCATACTTGATTATGTTCCAATTTCTAATGGCAACGGATTTTTGGCAGTGAGAGAAGTCATGATTTTGAAAAGATGGTTGTTTTCTTCGGTATTTAAAATTGCTCTTTTCTCTCCCCCAAGATGATTATAGGGCTTGGGACGTTCCGAAAAGTGAACTGTATAAACCAGAACAAAGTTACTATCCCCCTACCGTGAAATTTGGAAATTCAACTACATTTCAGGATGACTTTGTTCCTCAGAAGATACAGCCGAGGCAAAGCTTCAAACCCAGCTCCGTGGTGGAACGTTCCCCAGTCCCTTTTCACGCCGACACAAGCCACCGCCTCGATTATGTGCCTCACCAGCTAGATTCCAAGTCCCCACGGCCCAAAGAAGTCTACAGGCCGGCCGAGCAGCCCTTCGACGACCTCACCACACACCGACGTGACTTCCAGGGTCTTGCTGGTGAAAGCACAAAGAGCTGCAGGCCCACCGACGCCGGGGTGACCCGCCACGCTCGGTTTGAAGGAAGCACTGAGTTCCGCGACAGCTTTCAGCCCTGGGAGATCCCACCGCCCAGGGCCCGGGAAGTGCATGCGCACATCCCCCCCACAGGGACCATGCAGCTGCACAGCACCAGCCACCTGGACTACGTTCCCTATCAGGCCAGACGCGTCGTCCCTGTCAGGCCCATTTCTCACCGAAGAATCGACCACCTTCCTTTCCAAGGGAAAAGCACCACGAAGGAAGATTTTCCGGCTTGGGAGAGTTGTCGTCCGGGGCCCATTAAAAAGCAACCGCAGATCCCCAACCCGTCTGGAAAATTCGATGGTCTGAGCACGTTCCGGTGCCACTACGTACCACACGCACCGATCCCCACGGAGAGCTGCAAGCCCTCACAGGCTCCTTTCCGGAGCACTGGCCCGCTCGACGCCGTAACCACGTACGCTGTGGAGTTCGCGCCGAAGCAGCAGGAAGTCTGCCCGGCCAGCTATGCTTGCCCGCCGGGTCACGTCTTTGAAAACACAAATTCCCAAGGTCACAAATTCTTCCGCGAGATCGTGCCTGCAGCCAAGGCCTTCTAACCAGCACCTCACGCTGGCTTTCCAAGGGCGAAACCAATTGCTTATAGGAGGAAAAAAATTATGAGATCTAAAACAAATCGTGTTAAAATTTTTAATCAAGGAAATTGGAAAACTTGTTATAGGGGATCATGTTCTTCAAATCCATTTTGCATCGCTATGCTAACCAAGATGGCTCTTTAATACGCATTTCTAGAAGCTGAATAGTGTACGTTCCCACTGGAACCCTTTTAATCTCCAACGTACCGTTCGGTAGCTTGCCTCCAACCTACCACCATTCAAACCTGTGTGCATGACGATGGCCCCTGTACCGTGAGTCACGAACCAGTCGCCATTTACCAAGCGTGCTAGAGCCGTCTACGCAGCACCGAAAATGACACAGGGACCCGTCCTCCAAGGCAGCAGCGATCCTTTCCCTCAGCCTGCAAGGCCCCTGCAGTGGCCGCCAAGTTGGGTTTTGGGGGAAGGCGGCCACACAGCTCCTCACGTGCTCGAGCGGGGAACAGCCACTGCGCCGTGTGGCACGGAGAGGCTCCGCAGGCCGGGAATCCAGGGATCTGGGTCCAAGTTCCAGCGACATCGGTTTGTACTAGTGCCACCCCGTGCGGGTGACTCATGTCGGGGTCTCAGCGTCTTCATCTGTACGAGGGTGTCCGCCCTGCCTACCTCGTGAACAGTGCGCCTCGCACATGAGCTCACGTGACACGTTCACCACCACCCAAAAGGTCAAAGTGCTAAACACATGTCAGGGACTGTCAAGAATTCACTTCCTACCTCTCGTCCCCGCTTTTCCCTTCTTCTAATCAGGGTATTCACCTACTCAGTGATCGCTTCTGGCCTTAGCAAGGGTTGCAAAAGAAACTGATTTGCTTCGAGCTTACGAGTAGGATGACTTCGGAGACGTCGTGCCCGATTAAGCGTCACCAGCACCTGTTACAGAGGGTGGAGAACTGGGACTGGGGGGGAAATCGCACATTTTGAACGACGTTCTTTCCAGACGGGAAATAATGAGTCGTTTTAGGAATGACTGAGGGCTCTGAAGAAACCTCCCAGGTGACCTCGGGTAACTGTGCACCTGATCGCCACGCCCAGAGTCACGATTCAGGAGCCCGGGGCCCAGGTGGGGGCATAACGATGCCCTCCTCATCCCCTCATCCCCATGAAACAGAGAGAACAAACTGCATCTACAGGTGCTGAACCTTTCCTAATGAATTGTGTGCTGTTTTCCCTTTGATAAATGATTGCATCATGGGAGAACGTGATTTATCAAAAAGTTTAGTCTTCTGTAGTTTTAGATTTGTTTCAAACTGTACACTGAATTGAGAATAAGTCCATTTAGATAACATATTTTTAATTATTTGAAAGTAGTTTGTTTTTATTTACATTTGTATTTATCAGCGAAAATCATGTAGGATTTTATATGTCTATGCGACATTAATAAAGCATTGATAAAAGGAATGAATTTTCATGAAATCGTTTCTGTACCTAAATTTCTCCAGAAAATCGAGCTACTGAATAAAGTCTTATCTAGGTTAACCTGTACCTAATTAGACATTCTTACCTTTTTAACAGAAAATTTTATTATATACGCAAGATAAAAAATTAAGGAATACTACAACACTGTCATCCTGGCCCATTTTCTGATGATCTGATGGGGTTGGTCTCCTCTCTGGACAGAGGTCAGCCACAGTAAGACACCTATTGGGGTTTCCGGAGGTAGTTTGCCTTGGGCCGAGGACACACCAAAGAATAATGGTGTCTCCCTGAAATCTAACACTCAATAGGACAGGTGTGAACATAGAGATTGGAACAGTGTACATGGGACATTTAGTCTAAGAGTTCAGGACAGGCTTCCTCAAGGCGGGGACAGCTGAGCTGAATCTTGAAAGGCAAGCGGGGACAAGCAAAGTGGGGAGGTGAGTATGGCAGGAACACAGGTACAGACGGACCCATCTCTCTGTGCAAGCGTTAATGAGACTTCTAAGACGTGGAAGTGGAAAGCTAGTGACCGATTCACCATCTCCTTGGGTCTCCTTGAAAGGCTGTGCAGGAACACACACACACACACACACACACGCACACACACACACACACTCATACATTCCAACGGCACCTGGAACTAGTAATATCACTTAACGGCCTGCCAGACTCTAGAAGGAATTTCCACCAAGCCGGAGCTGGATGCGTCTGATGAGAAAAGGGGAACAATTCAGGGAGAGACAGCAGCAGGACACTTCCACCCCGCCCCGCCTCATCCCCCGGACACCCGCGCATTCTTCGGAAAATAAGACCAGACTCAGAGATTAGAAAGACAGACTTTGTGGTTTATGAAAACCGCACCGACAGCTCTAAGAGGGAACCCCGACAGTGATGTGGGCTCTGGGTGACGATGACGTCAGTGTAGACCCTCCGATGGTAACAGAGACGCCCTCTGGTGCAGGCTGGGGGCACAGAGCAACTCTCTATTTCCCATCCAATTCGGCTGTGAACCCAAAGCTGCTCTAAAAAGACCATCAGAAACAAAAACCGTACAGCAGGAAGAAAGGAGGGGAGCGCTCGCCAGTCACAGGTTGGGGACCCCACACCCCAGCTTCTCGGTACATCAGATTTGCAGACTCTTGTATAAAACCGATACCCAATGCCCATTCTGAGGTCCGCTGTGTGAGGAGCCTCGTAATCCAAGGGGTTCACGAGGGTGAACCTCGTAATTGTAGTTAGCAAACTTCAAAATTGCTGTTTAAAAAGGGTGCTGACGACACGCTCTCGAAAGGGTCACCGGGTCCCATAAAACCACAAGAATCGTCTGCTTCGTTAAGGCTTCAGCTTTTTCCCTCCCCGTCCCCCACCCCTCAATGATCTTTTATGCGGATGGGCAGGTTCTCACCTCAGGTCACAGACAGAGCACTCTCATCAATGACAGCCCTCCCCAACCTGCCCACCAGCACTTGACAGCTGCTCTCTAGGGCAGCCAGGGCTACTTCGCTGTTGCCTCCCATATCCCTATTGCTATTTTGTGCGTAGCCCCTGCAGAATATAACGAGGCGGCATGGCCAGGAGGGGCTCGCGGCCAGTCGGCATTGAAAGACGCCGAGTCTGGAAGAGCAGAGGGAACTGTCTCTTCCTCCACAGACAGACGAGTACGTGACCTTGTGCAAATCACTGTCCCTCTCTGAGCCCTGTGTCTGCATCTATGAAACGGACTTCAAAGGATATGTATTCAGAACATATCGAGAACTTTCAAGACCCAACAAGAGGGAGAAAAGAACGGGTAAAAGATCTAAATAGGTACTTCCCCAAAGAGTACAGACAGATGTAGGCACTACTGGTAAGGCTGCTGGAACGAAGTGCCACAAGCTGGGTGGCTTGAAAATGCAGAAACGTACCGTCTCAGGCCTGGGGCGAGAAGTCTGAGATCGGGGTGTCGGCAGAGCTGGTTCCTCCTGAGGCCATGAGGGAGCGTCTGCTCCACGCCTCCCTCCTGGCTTCCGGAGTCCCGCTGGCCATCTCTGGTGCTCCTTGGCTTGTCCATCTCTGCCTTCATCTTCCATGGCATGCTCCCTGTGTACACACACAACTGTGTCCAAATTCGTAACAGTTAATATCACTCGCATTGGCATTCACAGACACAGGACGTTCACCAACATCCCCCACCCTAACACTTGATGGCATCTTAACGTGACCACCCACGAAGACCCATTTCCGCATAAGGTCTCAGTGTGTGAGTGAGACATTTTGGAGGGGACACAATTCGACCCATACAGTCCACATCATTAGTCATTCCAGAAATTTCTCCCAGTTGGAAATGAGTTGCTAACTTTTCCTCTCTCTCCTGATGATGCTCCACTCTCAGGCGGGACTTGCGGGGGAAGGGAGGATGAAGGAAGAAGAAAGAAGGACGAATGTGTGCTTTCCCACCCATCCCTATACTCCTCACAGGGCACAGAATGAAAGGGTATTAGCACCTCCTGCTCGCCCAGCTACCACCTGCTTCGGGCCGTCCATTTGGGACTTCTTTCCACCGCTCATGCCCTCGACATTCTTTTAACTCTAATTCACGGGGCGTAAATGATGGGGATAAGGGACTCGGAGAAATCTCTGTGTGATCTGCCGTGAATCTTGTCACCCCCGCTCCAAAGGACAGTCCAGGGCATCAGACCCATCGGGGTTGCTCCTGGACTCACAAGGAGATGGTCAAAGTGACAAGACCCAAGGCTCGCAAAAACATAACACGAGTAAGCCACCCACATTGATGAGGATGCCACTGAATAATTGGTCAATTTATTTCTGAATTACTTAAAGGTCATGAAAGAGAAACAGTACTCTTACATTATAGAAACAGTAGTAAAATACAGTACACAGGAATGTCGTTTGAATAAGACAAAAAAAGTACAATAGCAAATGAAAAATAGCAACTTTAAATACAAGAGTGAATCGACTTAATAAAAAAATTTTGTTAATAAGAAAAATATATGTCCCATGTCTTTATTACACACTGTACAAAATAAAATATTGCACCTTTAAGTCATATAAGTATCTACAAAGAGTATTTTACAAACGATCTTTCCTTTAATTTAAAAACCTCCAACGATCAAGTGTCGGTTGATGATCAGTAACTGATGGGCTGGTGTGTCCTCTTCACGTCCCCCCCACTCGTTCCCAACCAGCACCCCCTCTACTTACAGTAGTGCTCATCCCAGCGTCAGCGAGGGCGAGGTCGGACAGGACGGCTGGTGCTCCGAACGTGGTAGAGACGCGGCAAGCTTGTCCGCAGACAAATCTGAGGCCAAATGCACGGTCCGCTTATGAGTGACCAGGGACGAGGTCCAGCATGACCTACTGCAGGTAACTCTGTGGCCAACAGGCCACAGGCAGCCTGGGTACAGGCAGCTGGGACACCGAATGAAGAAGCAGGACCGCTTCTTCCGGGCTGTGTGACTTCTAAAGCCACGAGTGGCAGCATGGAAGGGGGAGAGCCCCACAATCAAATCGGCTTTCGAATTTGCAATTTCGGACCAGCCCCAAACTCCTTCAGCAGCAATATTTACTCCACACGGACCCTCCGCCCTGACACCATCACTGACACCGGCACTGGCTCCATCTAAACCCAACCCAATTCTCATCTAACCCGGCCCAAACCCAAACTCCCAAAGCCAACGTGAGCCTTAACCCTCACTCAACTTCTGTTCTCACCTGAACCCAACCCTACAACTGAAACCAACCCCAAACGTATCCACCCAATCCCAACTCTATCCCTCGTCCTAGCTGTAACGTCCAGACTAACCCTAATTCACTTTGGATTTACTGAAAAATAGGTTCCAATTAAAACAATTATTTACCATAAACAATTTTTTTTGACAACCGTGTTTCATATTTAGATCACTTTCTTATAATTCTTCCAAAATAAAAATCCCTAGGAATACAATTTTATGCATAAATTAGGTCTAATAAGGCTTCGATTTTGCTGTTTGTGTGCAAGAAAATAGTGCTTAGGAAAAGTTTCATTCACAGCTCTTAAAAGCAAGCTTCGCATATACTTCAAAATCAGTAGAAAAGGTTAACTTTCCTTCGCCTTTGATTCCCAAGATGCCTCCCTCCCTTGGCCACAGACAGACTTCCGTAGTTGTGAAAATGGCGGCGACATTTACACTGCGTGTTCGCCCTCGGGTTCTCTGAAGGCGAGGGCGAGATGCCCCCCTCCCACGACCCTCGGAGCGGTGAGCGTGACAAGCCTGTCCGAAAAGACCGACTCTTTTTCACAGACTGAACTTAAGGACCCATGACGACGCATTAGTGCCAACCTATTAGCAACTACCGGCCAGAGCGTCCAAAATGTAAAATGCCTTATAAACCTGTGGAGACCCTAAAGCTTGAGGGAAGAGGAAGTCGTCAGTTGCTGTGATTCCCAAGTCGTCAAGGCGTCCTGCTCCACGCTAGCCCAGCCATGGCGGGAAGCGGCAGCACGTGACGACGCGCTGGCCATCCTGGCAATCTTCTCATTATGAGGTCCCGAGCGCCATGGCGTGCCCACTCGTCGTGTTGTTGTCAGTCCTGGAGTCTGTCGTGTCGAAGAGCTGGAATTAAAAACCGGCCGCGGGAAAACGACAGTACACAATATCGACGGCGATGCTTCTGCAGTGACCTCTGCCTGATGGCGGAATCTAGAGCTCTCGAAGAAGGACACGTTTCTGCACCAGCTACGTTTGGGAAAGGAGCTTCTACACGATTTCGTCTTCACAGCAGCATGAGGACCCCCTCCAAAAGTTTACCCTTCACGACACGACTGGCAGCATCGCTGTTTGTAGAGGTCCAGGGAACACAAATTAAGGTGCTTTACGGACGCGCAGTAGTGAGTTGTGTCTGTGCATTCTCCTGCGAAAACAAGCGGAGAAAGCCCACATCCGTTTAACACGCAGCTCGTCAGTGACCTCGTTACAAATTCATTCGATTTCGCGGAACCTGTCAGTTGAGACCACAGAGGGAAGGGAGGAAACGGGGCTTGGGTTGGGGCCAGCACTCTGCACTACTCAGAAGCACGCTGGACTCGGTTCTCAGCTAGGCCAGGTGGCCTCTCACTGCTCTCTGGGGACCTCACAGCCCTTCTGGCCCACGCTGCGCCTCTCGGTGCTGAGAGCACAGACACCCCGCAAAACTGATGGAAGCTACGGGCCTGCTCCCTAGAAAAACACGTGTACGATTAAACTTTACATATCGCTTCCGGATATTTGCTACCTGCACCATCCCACCCACAAGCGCCTGTCCAGCGGAGGCGAGCACCAGGCAGAAGGGGAGTCTGCGGAGAGAGGTGTCCGGTGCTTGCTGGCAGACGGTCCCCAAGGCCCCTGACATCTTAATGATTCAACGTGTTTCTCTCCAGAGACTGAGTTGTGTCCACATCAAAGCAGCTCGTTTCCTAGTATCCCAAGATACCACATCCATCCTCACTGGCCCCTCGGACACGAGGCTGACGAGGCGGGCGCCACGGGGATCTGACACCTGGGACAGTCGTGATACCTGAGAAGGGTACATACTGTCACAGGAAGGCCCGACGCAGTGCTGCCAGGAAGACGGCTTCGCGCCCTGCGCACAGTGCCTGTCGGCCACCAGCCGGCAGCTGCTCCTGTGGACGCAGTCGACCTTCCGGGACTGGAAGCCCCTGCCACAGGCTGCCGTGCAGGGCCTCCACGGGCCCGTGCGCCAACACGCGTCACAGGCCCCTGACGAGCAGTTTCTCCTTAGGGCGGGTCTGAATTAGACAAAACAAAAAACGGGAGAAGAGGGTGTCATTTCTGGCTGGGATCAAGCCTTTCACCGTATGTCCTACATTTTCGATGTATTAGAGGTGCGATGGTCAGAAGCCTGTTCACCGGGCAATGGATCTGCATTGTTCACGGTCGACAGCACAAAGTGACAGTGTAGCCGTGAACACGACGGAGATGGCAAACCGTGAGCTTCCACTAGCTTCCAGCGCCAAGGCAAGGCACACGCCTCAGAGGACGAGCCGTCCTTATGATCCGGAGCTCATCCATTAAGGCCAGGGAGAGAAGGGCATCTCCCAAGAAACCACGTCAAATTTGTCAACAGACTTGAAGGCTTGATCGCACGAAAGGCTGAAATAGACTCATGTATGGCCAGGAATTTGAACGGGGGCCATCTCGTCTGCCAAGAGTAACACTCTTACATTTATACTCAGGCCACGGCATGGCTCATGGTCAGACCTGACAAAGCCTCCACTCGAGAAGAGGAATCTCTGTCTGGTTCCTCATCTTTTAAAACAGAACAGAAAGTGAACGCCCTCTGATATTTGAAGGGACATTTAGGCTGGAAGGTAGAGTCATCGTAGAGGGGCCGCTTTGGGGTATGTGCCCTTGTTCCCTAGGGCAGAGCTCCTGGATAATATATTTGCACCCCAGGCGAATGTCTCCCCACCCTCATAGACGACTGGGAGAGCACCGTAACTTGACCTCGTTCAAAACCTGTCCTCCCAGGATTTTTGAAGTGGCTGGAACAAGACACGCGACACCAAAGGCTGGGGTAGCGGTGGCCATATTCTGTCACATGGGCCGGAGAGGTGGGGAAAAAAACTAATACTCGGAAAGAACAAAGAATGAAGCAGGAACACACAGAGCAGCAAAAAGGAGTGAAGAAAAAGAAAAAACGGTGCCTTCTCATTGCTTGTTTACGGTCCTTCCGGAAGTCATTCTCGCTTTGGATTCCTGAGACATGTGCGTACGCCCATGAAAGGCTCCTTACCGGGGCACGTGTTCTATAAGGAGTGATGAGACTACACTGGAAATGTAGTAAGATGGAGAAAATTAGGATCATCTGGACTTTACTAACGGGCATTGCGCAGTCGGAAGCAATCCCTGGCATAGCCAGTAGGGGGAGTCTCCATCCAAGGGTTCGCTTAATCCTGTCACCACGAACTGTTTTTAGGATGGAAAAGTCAGAGGTAGGGGAGGTTTCGTTTTCCCCAGTGGGTATGAATTTTAGGGGCCAAACCTTGAACTGCTTTGGACAACAAGGCAGAGACCACGTGCTCGTCAGCTGTCCCCCTACACAAAGACCAGCTTTTCTACTGGAAAAGGTTAAACAATAATTCAAAAATACTCAAAAAATATTTTTAAAAGGATACCAAACTGTCGTGCACAAGTGTTGGGTGGTCCTGCCTTGATAAGAAATCTCCCACCCTCTCTGCATAAATCATTCGGAGTCACCTTTTCGCTGCCTCCAGTCTCAAGGACCTTCACCAACATGGCCAACTCTGCTCCGATCGAAGGCAGGGCCAGTGGGAAGTCAGACGGAACCACTGAGCTTCCTAAACACAAGACGAGAGGGGCACAGGGGGCTCAGAGCAACCAGGAGCTGAAGCCCAAGGGGCTGGTCACTGATGACCCAGAGAAAGGATGCAGGTCGGTCCAGCACAGGGCATCGCTTTTTCCCAGATTGGGGACAGGGACGCCTGAGCGAGGCGGACAGTTCGGGCATCAGACTGTATAAAACATGAAAGCAGAAATGGCAGCCAAAGTCACAGAGTAACCAAGTTCCTACGAGTCTTTCTCCATTTCTCGCCCCTAGTCAGGCTGGCCCCACCCCCAGCTCCGAGAAGCCCTCTCACCATGAGGTCCATCGATCAGAGGGGGTGACTGATTCGGTCTGGGCCCGGCTTTAAAAAAGATGCAGCTTGCCAGGCTCCACTTCCAAAGACTCTGACTCACTAAGTCTGAGTTGAGGCCCAGGAATCTTTGCAGAAATGTCCCAGGTAATTCTGACTCTCGACTAAGGTGGGGGCCACTGCCTTGAGGAACAAGCTCTGTGCCCTCGGACATTCCCTCAAGTCCCCACGCGGCCTCCTTACCCTCAGTGTGCACTAGCTCCACCCCGAAAATTCTCTCTCCCTCTGAAACTCTTTTCAGCGGAGACTGCAGCTCCCCGTCCTTCCCCGGGGCCCGCGGAGGCGGTGAGCAGACAGTCTGCTCACCACCGATCTTCTCCCCATGGCCACCAACAACGTCACTCCCTGTAAAACACCCTCTGACGTTTACTGAGGCCCTGCTGTGGCCACTGGCGGTGTCCAGTCTGCTCCTGCTCCTTCTCCAGGCAGTGTCAAGGGAGATCTGATACCCCACCTACCTCCAGCCAGCCCACAGTCAGCAGCAGGGGTGTGTGGGGAAAATGGGACCAGAAACCCACAAAAGACACCCACGGGCGCTCGCTCAACTAACTGAGTTCTTCATGCACCACCGGATATTTGAGGACAGAGAGCAGCATGAAAGGAAAGGCCAGGGAATCAAAGCAGGACAGCCAGCCCTGGAGGAAGCAGAAACGAGAGAGAAAGTGAAGGACAGCTTGACCGCCGCCCCGCTCCCCGTCCCCCCCTAACCTCCCCCCACCCATTCTAGGCATTTTCCTTCTATTATTTCTTTTTAAAATGCCCATCGTTTTCTCCAGCAAGAGGAGCGAGAATGAATGACATACCGAGGCTGTTCTTCATGCCCCAGGCCGCTTAAGCTACGGAAGCAGAACTGCCCGGCCCCTAACTTCCCGAGGACCACACATCACACCCACTTTGCGGGTTAGGAGGGCTGGAAGTCCAAGGTCACACAAGGGCATGGAGGACGCCAAACTGCCTCTCAGTCTGCCCTGCAGGCTCTGTCCTCACTTTCTGCCGGCCGGGGCACTCCCTGGGGACGGTGGAGTCACCAGATGGAAGGAGGCTGGGTCTCTGGGTTGAGCTCATGGAGCCAAGCACTTCTCTCCCTAAACCATTGACGGGCTCGGACAGTTACACAAGAGAAAAGCAAACTCCTGTCTGTCCGAGCCCCTTAAGAAGATAAAAGTTTGTTTTAGTCTCTGCTAAGCCACGGTGCCAATATCTTAATCAAACCAGTTTCTAGACAGAAGCATAAAGCAGCTCGCTAAAAACATCAGAAGATTGACTCTGTAAACCTAAATGAACTATAATGAGGCTTCACCAACTCTGAATCCCAAGGGAACAATATCTGCCTGTGCTCAATGCTTCTCTTGCTTCTCCTTGGTGGGGCGGGGGGGTGACCCTCTCTGAATATGATCGATACCCAAACGATGTGTGATTATCAAAAGGTCCCATTCATTCATATTTTGGTCCGACGCACACTACTGAGGCGGGGAGCGGCACTAAGGCACTACAAGAAATCGTAGGAACTGTCAGTTCTGAGAGGTGGGAGAGAGGAAAAGCCACGTCATGCCCAGGGCGGAGCTGGTACCTCCTTCCATCACTGCAGCCAGAGTCGGCACCGTCGTGGTGGCGGCAAACCGCACGATGCGTCTGGTTCGTCACGGCGCGGCCCAGGCAGCGTCCAGGACACTGGAACGGAAGCACAGAGCACCGTGAGGGACTCGTGCGCCCCAGCCCGCGGCCTACGGGCCGGGCAGGGAGGCCCCGTCAGCGGAATCGCCCGCTGGCACCCCGACCTAATGTCCAGCCTCCACGAAAATAAATTCCACGGCTTTGGCCACCTACCGGTGGCCTTCTGTTATGGCAGGCGGCCCTAGCAGACGAGCAGAGGCTCCCTCACATCGATTTAAAATTTCTTCCCCAAGATTTTTATTATAATGTTATCTCAGGGGGCGCTGGGGACGTCGGTTCTGAGCCGTTTGTGGACACATCACTAGCGTGTTTTGTTCCTTTCCTTGAAGGCTGTCCTCATTCCCACCGCCCCCAAGCAGTCTACCTGGAGCTCGGTGCTACTGCAATGACCTGACCTTCGTATGAAAAGTCAGAGACACCACGACATCCAAATGTAATCCCTGAGGTCAGACCCATACATTCATGTTGGAGACCAATCAGATTTTTCCCCCCGAAATGAAAAAAAAAAAAAAGCATTCGAAACCAGGGGGATCGATGACAGCACGGTCAAGACACGAGATCTGTGAGCTTTACCTGGCCCCCTGGTTCCACGACCCACTGGACACACGGATGGCCGGGACACGGCCTTCGTCCCCGAGGCCTGTCCTTGGGGGCACACGCTCTGGGAGGCATCCCCTGCACGGCGCCGCTGGCTTTCGTGCGTTTGCACGTCACCTGCCGACTCTGGAACCCTTCGCCGCAGGACACAGAGCACTCTGACCACGGACTCGTGAACCACCTAGGGACAAAAAACTACAGGCGCTTAGTAAGGACTGGGTGTCAGGCCAGCGCCGTGTAACGGGCGGGGAGGGCCCGCAAAGGAAGCGCCGGTCCCCGTGCCGTTCGGAGGGCCGTCACATGCCCGTCGGAGAAGGGCTGGCGGCATGGATGACGCACAGTCTTGTCCTCAGACTTCCTTTCACTCTGGGGAGCAGCAGAGTCACCGCACAGAGACAACGAACACAGGGGTCAGGGGAAAGCCATCTGCAAGAGCTGTCACCTGTGTGGCCCCCACAGGGTAGAGAGCGAGGGCAAGATGAGGTGGACATTTCAAAAAGGTGCATTTCGACTCATGGAAACCAAAGAGGAGAAAACGTTTTGGAAGCTTCTATGCGCTGTTTGTTACAGGCTCTCACAATGTTCTCACGTTCTTCTCATTCTTATAGAGAAGACACCAGTGTCCATGGGGTTCAGTCACTTGGCTGTGGTCACAGAACTAGCAATGCAGGCCACGAAACACGGCGGTGATTTTGTCACGTACAGAAATCCCAGACATTTTCACCTGCCATCGCGATTGTGGCAGGCACCTCCAAATATGATCTATATTCACTGTCACTTCAAAATGAGTGTGCTGTGGGATCCCAGTGTGCTAACAGAGAAGCGTGATACCATGCGATTTTAATATTTCAGTGACGGGATTTGATATACTTGGTTTTCTTTGTCGTCAAGGACATTTTATTTCACAGAGTTAAAACCCTTCTTCCGAGAAGGGGTCTGCAGGCTTCTCCAGACTACCGGGGGGTCCGTGACTCAGAAATGTGAAGACCACTCCATCCCCACAACCGCGCAGAGGGACCTAGGGCCCGATGAGCTCGACCAGCTCTGCTGGGATGAAAGATGTGACTCAGATCATTTTAGGAATGTGCTAAGCCTTGAGACCATTTAATAAACAAGGCTGCTGAAAAATCTCCCAACTGGGAATCTTTCCACTTTGTGAAAACCAAGAATGGACATAAAGCAGCTTTCCTGGACCAAGTCCCCCCGCCTCCATCACAGCACCAGTCTGCTGCTTCCTGGGGTGCACACGACCCTTGGCATGAGACCGCCCTCTGCTGAATACCCTGGGGACTGAGACACGTGTCCGTCAGGGTGCCTTTGACACCCAGGGCCCTCTGAGGACATGTTCCAGGGCACCTGTTTTGTTTCCCAGTGTGACCCTGACTTCCACTCTCCTTCAAGGCAGAGGTCGCTGGACCTAGTGTGGCATCTCACAAGGGCAGTGAGTGGAAGAGAGAGGGAACAGAACGTGTTAAGGCTCTGAGTCAGGAGAGCAAATGGCACGTCTAAGGGACACAGACCAGTGTGGATGGAGATCAGACAACCAGGCTGGGGGAGAAGCTCTGAGACGCAAAGGTGGCCTGAGGCCCACGCACGGAGGGACCTCTAGTCTTTCAGTCATGTATTCCACCGGGCAGCAAATATTGACTGAGTACCTAGTATGTGCGAAGCACTATTTTAGACATGGGGGTGATAAAAGGAACAATGCCCCGATGCTGGGGATTCTGGCCTTTGTCCTAAGAACAACGAGAAGTCATCGAAGGCTTTTAAATAGAGGTGCATCATCATGAAAATCAGGAGTCCCCTGGAATAGCCCATGTGAGAAATGATGAAAACCGGGACGGCAGGGTAACCATGGAAACGGACAAGGGCGGGTGGGGGTACTGACCCACACATAAAGGCTGATAATGGGCTCCGCTCCAGGGGTGGACTCTAGGGACCTGAGGTTTTAACTCAGGCCCCTAGTGATCGCGGCCCACTGACCCACCACCCTGGAAATGCTGAAGTCAGCTTCGCTCCATCTGTAAGGAGCAGGCGGTGCTGTGAGTGCCGGAGGCGGATACGGGGGTCGATGGTGAGCAGGGCCTCTGAGCTCTGTTCCCACCTGTCAGACAACACCGACTTCATCGGTGCTGCGACGTGATCCGCACACAGTGCCTAGTGGAATGCCTGGTCTGGGGTACGCGCTCAATAAACCCCCGATTGCATTAAGTCCAAGGGACGGTGCCTTTCAAAACGACCAGAAACCTGGCACCGATGAGACCAGCCGAGCGAGGCACGTACCTTGGGGGGCAGTCCTGGATGCCACAGGGCTGAGACCTGGCCGGCGGCTTCTGGAGGTGACCACAGAGGGCCTCGCTCACTTCCTGCCCGTTGGCCATCACACACTGGGGTCTCCGAAGTCGAGCTCCCAAGTGGCCACAGGTGGCAGAACAATGTGTCCAGTCCCCCAGCCTCCAGAAAGGACCTGTGGAGAGGAAATGCAACATCATAACAGCCCCCAGGGAGAAACGATCCCGGGCTGGCGAGGACTCTGCCGAGGACCGCCACACGCTGCTGCCCGGTGAGCCGCCTGTCCGGTCTTTGCGTAGCTATCACGGAGGGCAACAGGGTCCTTTAAATCTCACTGACCCTCAGCTAACTCACTGCAATGCCTGGCGGGGACGGCGGCCTTGGATCACAGCCCGGGCAGAGGGCTATGGGAAGCTAGCTTGGTTTGCCAGAAAAGTCCCAGAGAGAGGGAGGAGGGATTCTGGGCAGCGTCCTCAGCATCCTTCGCTCAGAGCCAAGAGGACGAGAGAGGGAGGCCGGGGGGGCTCGGATGGGTTCCATTTCTCAAAAGAGGATCAGGCAGAAAAACAAAAGATGACTTAGCGAGGACCACAGCTTCAGCAAGAGGTTAGAGATGCATTTCCATTCCATTCTTACTTTTCCACTACTTCTTTCTCTAAATTGCAGATTAGCCCTGCAACTGCACAAATAATTTGCCAAGGAGACAGCTGGAAAGGTAAAAGTGGGCACTTCCTTTGGAGAATGTGAAGCGACCACCTCCAGCAGCCACAGCATTTGTATCTCAGTCCCCATCTCAAATGGCCTGTCCTTCCCCTTTGACGCTTGGTAAAAAGATGAGGCAGAAGGTGACGATGACAGCTTTGTGTATGTATGATCACAGAAGGGGCCAGATTTTCTTGTAGTAATCACAAGTATAATTGATAGCTACCAGCTGTGTCCACACACTCTCTTGCATAGCAGAGTGATTTCTTCAACTTGTTTTCCAGTTTTTCCTTCCGATTTTTGCATTTTTTTTTGTCTTAAGTTGCACATGGCATCATTTGCAAAGCAGAACGGTATATATGTTTAGTTGCCTTCACCCCCGGGATTATAGTTTATTTAAAACCATTTTTATAAATAGCCAAGTTTATTCAGGACCTTGCAGGTGACAGGTACTAAGTTAAGCACTTTAACCCTAATTTTTCATTTAATCCTTATGGTCATCTACTGAATCGGATTATTTCTATTTACAGAAGTGGAAACCGAAACAAAGCTAAGTGACTTGCCCAAGGTCCTCCATCTGTCAGCTGGACTGGAACCCAAGCGTGTCTGACTCCATAGCTAACTCTTTCTACTATGTCACATTTCACAAAGACACCTTGACAGTTCAAGGCAGGACACACATGCGTTTCTTCCAAAAAAACACGTATTTTTTTAAATTGAGGTATAAACATGCATATATAATAAAAAGCTCAGATATCAGGTGTGCAGTTTTATGAGTTCTTTCATGAGGGAAAAGCTGGCCATATGAAATGTTATTTACCTTATACATACAGTAGTATAAGGTAAATGTTATTTACTACTGTATGTATAAGGTAAGTAACATTTCATCCTCCCAACGGTCTCCTCCTGCCCATTTTTAATCAATTCTCCTCCCCTCCCAGGCAACCGCTGGCTCATTTCTTTCAGTATATATTATTTCTACCTGTTCCTGGACTTCACACAGTATGCACAGCTGACCCCCAGCACAGAGGTTAAGAGTGCTCACCCCCTGCACAGCAGAAAATCCACGTATAACTTCTGACTCCCCCAAAACTTAACTACTAAAAGCCTACTGTTGTCCAGAAGACTTACCAATAACATACATCACTGGAGGAATAGAAATTTTGTATGTTATGTGTTTTATATACTGTATTCCTACAATAAAGTAGGCAAGAGAAAAGAAAATGTTACCGAGAAAATCATAAAGTTTGTATGCAAGTGTTTTCTAATCGTCTCAACTCACCAAAACCTTTTCCAATATATTTATTGAAAAAAAATCGGTGGATAAGTGAGTCTGAGTCTGCACAGTTCAAACCTACATCATTTGACGGTCACCTATACTCTTTTGCATTTGGCTTCTTTGACCGACGTAAGGTCTTCGAGATTCACCAGGTCTTTGTGTGTATCAGCAGTTCATCTTCACTGCTGAATAATATTCCACTACATGAGAGGCACTTGCTCAATAGTTAAAAGGTTGAAATGGTGTAGCCACTATTGTTCCTAAGTAGTGCATACAATACAGCACGAGGTCCAATGGCAGTGTCTGCGTGTTCTCCCGTGATTTGTCCATTTTTGAGCTACAAAGAGTTGAGATCGTCAGTGCTGGTTTCCTGTGATTCTAGAACTGCTGACTT